CAATTACTCCAACTCTGTACCTCTTGTGTCCCTACTGTGAACAGATGGCACTTTCTTCTATCCAGTTCCCCTAGCTAGGAACCAGTGAGCTATCATTTATTACTTCCCCCTTCTCCCTGCCCTTTCCTTCTCTCTAATGTCTATCCATTGATGATGACCTGTTGTTTCTATCTCCTCATTAGCTTTAGGGTCTCTCTTCTTCTCTCCAACATCAAAACACCATCATCTCTTGCCTGTGAAGGGCCTGTTAGTAGATATTTTAGACTTTTTGAGCCATAGGATTTCTGTTCCAATATTAGCACCATTTGTATCCTAAAAGTGGTTACAGACAAAATGTAAAGACACCTTTGCAGTTGTTTTAATATATATTTGTTAACACTACAACTTGAATTTCATATAATTTTCACATCATGAAATATTATTCTTTTGATCTCTTCTCAAAGTCATACAAAAACATCTGGGTGAGGTGGCACACGCCAATAATCCCAGCACCTTGGGAGTCTGAGGCAGGAAAATTTTGCGTTCAAAGCCAGCACTCAGGGAGACCTTAGGGAGGCCCTAAGAAACTCAGTGAGACCCTGTCTCTAAAATCAGAAAAGGGTTGGGGATATGGAACAATGGTTAAGTGCCCCTGGGTTTAATCTCCAGTACCAAAAAAAAAAAAAAAGTCATACAAAAACAGACGGTTGGCTGATTTTGGCTAGAGGCCACGATTTACTAACACAGATTATAATCTTCTTGGAAGCAGGGATCATTATCTGTCTTTTTTCCCCATTAGATATCTAAGGACCAACACAAAGCCTTCTGTGCACTCAATCAATATTTGGTAAATTTGGGGTGCAATGGTGCATGCATCCTAAATCATAATCCCAGTGATTTAGGAGGCTGAGGCAGAAGAATCACAAGTTTGAGGTCAGTTTGGACAATTTAGTGAGACTCTGTCTTAATGGCTAGGGATGTAGCTCAGTTCCTGAGTTCTATCCCCAGTAGGGGAGTGCGGGTGTGTGTGTGTATGTGTGTGCCTGTGTGTGTGTGGAATAAAGTTGGTAAATGAATTATTAAAGGAGTAATTTGTACATAAACATTTTTTATTACAAAAGGACTTTGTGTTAATAGATAAAAAAATGAGCATATCCACACAAAAATGAATACGCAAATCTTTAGCAATCCCACCACTCAGAGATAGCCATCTTTTTATACTTTTGTGCAGTAGATGGTAAAAATTTAGAAAAAGTTTTTTTTTTTCCATGAATACAGAGTCTCACTAAATTGCTGAGGCTGGGCTTGAATTTGCAATCTTCCTGCCTCAGTCTCCTGGGTACTTGGAATTACAGGTGTATACCACCACGCCTGTCTGGCTAGGAAAAGATTGTTTTCTGGCCAAGGGAGTGGTGAAAAGTTGTTTCCCTTCAAACCGCAAGGGAGCTAGGCTTCCCCTTTCTGGCTGTAGGGGCTGAAGCTGGAGAAGAAAGATAAGGAGGAAGGATGGAAATGGTGCATGCATCCTAAATCATAATCCCAGTGATTATGGGGGGAAAGTAATTAGACAAGCAATTAACGATCTCCTACCACATGCAAAGCCAGACCCTGAAGGATAGATGTAGCACTCATGCTTTCTGTGTTTACAATTGAAAAGGTAGATAAGGAATTATAAGAGTGAGAACGATGAAATACGAGGGGGGGAAATTCACGGTGCTGTGAGAGTTTGAGGTAGGGGGTTTGTCTAATCTCAAGTGTGGGTTAGGCAATGCCTCCTTTCCTAAGGAAAGAAGACTGTCTAGTAATTAGTTGGACAAGACAATGGGAAGTTCCATAATGAGAGAGCGGGGCATCTTTATTTAGAGGTGTTTGGCTGGAGGGCAGAGAGGAGCAAGAATTAGCACGAGATCAGGTTGGCAAGGACCACATCAAAAGAAGCTTGTCATCTAGATCTAACTACCACTTTGTGGAAACTAAAGAAGACTAGTGAACAAATTAAAAAACACCTGGAGGAGAAAGTAATCAGTTAGCTCCAGAATGAAGAACAATTTATGGGACAAATGATCTGGGTTCCCAGTGGCATGAAAATGGGAAAGAAAGAAAAAGGAGGGTGATCTGTTACAGAATAAGAGGTTCTGCTGGCTCCATGGTGCATGTTCTATAATCCCAGTAACTAGAGGGGCTGAAGCAAGAGGATTCTAAATTCAAGATCAGACTCAGCAATTTAACAAGCCTTTCAGCAACTTAGGGAGACCCATCTCAAAATAAAAAATAAATAAATAAATAAATAAAAAGGACTGGGGATATGGATGTGACTCAGAAGTAAAGTGCTTCTGGGTTCAATCCCCAGTACTAAAATACAAAATAAAACAAACAAAAACCAAAACAACAGCAACCAAAACAAACAACAACAACCTCAAAAACAAAAGGAAGAAGACCTAAGAAACATAACTACCAGAAGTCATGTGTGGCTCTGATTTATTTCATTATTGGAACAAACCAACTATGAAAGGCACCTTTGAGATAACTGAAGAAATTTTAATATGAACTGGGCATTATAAGATACTAAGGAATCACTGTATATGGTGGTTACATTTTTTAAAAAGCCATTATTAGTTATGCATATAAATGAGACGACTAGTGTCTGGTGTATGCTCTAAAATATTCTGGAAAAAAGCTGGAGGTAGGAATAATAAAATGGGGAAAATGTTGATAATTCTTAAAGCTAGGTAATGGTTATACAGATATTTATTATTATCAGACTCTGGGCTTTGTGTATATTAGGAAAGTTAGAGAATACTTAATAGGAAGAGAGCATCTTATATGCAATATTAAAGAACTTCACTTTTTAACTTTCTATTTTTGAAATGATTTTAGGTAAATAGATGGATCGCAAAGAGAATGTTTCCATAAGCCCTTCACCACCTTCCTCTAATATTTTATCTTACACAACTATGGCATGTTAATCGAGATTAAGAAATCAGAATTGATACAACACTGTTAGCTGAACTACAGACTTTATTCAGTTTCTATGATTTTTCCACCAAGGTCCTTTTTTTCTGCTTCAGGATCCAATCCAATGTCACATCTTTTTAGTCTCTTCTAATCTCGGTAACAGTGTTTTGGCCTTCCTTGCCTTTCATGGCTTTAACACTTTTGAAGAACGGTGTCAAGTATTTTGTAGACTGTTCACAATTTGGATTTGTTGGATGTGTGCCATGATTAGCCTGAAATTGTGGATTTGAGGAAGAATACTGCAGAGGTGAGGTGGCTTTCACATCACATCATGTCAGGAGGCACATAGTGTCAACAGGACTTACTAAAAATTTTTTCTTTCTTTTTTTATATTTATTTCTTACATACATGACAACAGTGGGGTGCATTACATTATCCATTCACAGCACAATTTTTGTAACTCTGTAAAAAAAAATCTTAGTCATTTGGTTAAGGTGGTGTCTGCCAGGTTCGTTATCTTTTCTTTTCTATATTCAGTAGCTTGAAAATCATTACTGCCTACAGTCAAGGAACTCCTTGGCCACAGGGTATTAAACTCAGGAGCACTCAACCACTGAGCCACATCCCCAGCCCTTTTTTGTATTTTATTTAGAGACAGGGTTTCACTGAGTTGCTTAGGGCCTTGGTAAATTACTGAGGCTGTCTTTGAATTTAAGTTCCTCCTGCCTCAGCCTCCCTGTCTGGGATTACAGGCATGCACTACCATGCTGGGCCTCCATCTTGATTTTAAGAATGAGGGAAGTCACTGAAGGGACTTAGGAGAGGACTAAATTCAAATGTGTTTTATTTTTGTGGTGCTGGGAATTGAACCCAGGGCCTTACATATGCTTGGCAAGTGCTCTGTCATTATCATTTTTTTACACCTCCAGGCCCTCAAATATGTGTGTGTGGTTTTCCTTTTTTTTTGGTACCAGGGCTTGAACCCAGGGGCACTTAACCATTGAGCCACATCCCTAGCCCTTTTTATTTTGAGACAGAGTACGGCTAAATTGCTTAGGGCCTCACTAAATTGCTGAGGTTGAACTAAATTGCTGGCTTTGAACTTGCGATCCACCTGCTTCTGCCTCCCAGGCAGAGGGGATTATAGGCATGCACCAGCCTCAAATGAGTTTTTCTTTTTTAATATATATATATTTAGTTGTAGATGGACACAATACTTTAATTTCATTTATTTATGTTTATATGATGCTGAGGACTGAACCCGGCGCTTTACATATGCTAGGCAAAAGCTTTACCACTAAGCCACAACGGCAGCCCCTCAATTTTTAATTTTTTTTTTTTTGTAGTTGTAAACAGACTGAATGCCTTTGTTTATTTTTATGTGGTGCTGAGGATCAAACCCAGTGCCTCACACACGCTAGGCAAGCGCTCTGCCACTGAGCTACAGCCCCAACCCTCAAATGTGTTTTAAAAAGAATACTTTGGCAGTAATGTGGAAATGACATATGATGAAGCTTGCAGTGGAACTGGTTGTAAGTAGATGGATTTGAGTGATTTTAGGAGATCAACCGAGCAAAAATTGATATTATTAGATGTAAAGGAAATGAAGGATGAGAGAAGGTGGAGCTGGGTGGCTAGGGTCTTTCACTAAATCCAAACCAAAGGGTCTGTGTGTCCCTAAAATGTTGTCTGCTTCCCTATCCACCAAAGAGAACCCAATTTCTGCTTCTTGGTCTTTCCTTGCTTTCAGGGCAGGTCCCTGAAGGTTATCCCGGCTGGAAAACGATTTACCTACATAAAAATTGGGAGAGGTTTGGGATTGTCAAGGAAGATCAGCATTCCCAAAGCTGAGTTTGAGATCAGACAAGTGAAAAGGTTTGGGACAAAATCAGTCATTTCCAAATCCTTCTCTCCTTTCCTAGTTTAATGGCCCAATTAAAAACATGTAATCAAAGGGTCTGTGACTCAGTGATTTCAAACAAGTAATTTTATTTACCTTTTCAGGTTCGGCCAACCAATCCTCCCCTTTGTATTTTTGTTTTCTTCTAGGATGTGTGTTTGGGAAGGGGGGAGTTGACTGCTACCATCTTTGCACTCATCTCCGCCGGCGGACTCCGCGTCCAGCCTTCTTTTCTCTTCGACGCCTACGGGCGGGGGCAGGAGGAGCTACCGGAGTTGGGGCTGGGGGCGCGGGGTAGGGCGCCGAGCAGGCCCCGCCGCCTTGGGGTGGCTTGTAGATCAGGTGGAAGATGAAGGCGTTGCAGTACCTGCGGGAGGCGCGTGGGCGCTGTCAGGGGCGGGGCCTGGGCTCTTAGGGGCGGGACTTATGGGCCCGGCGTTCAGGGAGCTGGGCTAAATAGGGCTCAGCTCGCTAAAGGGCGAGCAGGGCCTTTTGCATCGTAGGAAAAGGAGTTGGGGAGAGTTCGTGAACTGGATCCAAAGGGGTGTATTGGAGATTATCTGGAACAGCGGGGATGGGGTGGTGGTGACTAGTGGGGACAGAAAAGGGGGGCTATAGGGCTGAGGAGAGTAAGGTTCCAGGAGAACCGAGACCTTTTAGGTGCAGAGAGTAAGAGAGGTTATGGGTCCAGAGGAAAAGTGGGCCCTTACCAAGGCATGCAGTTGTCGGCGGCTCTGAGGCGAAAGGGGGAGCGGAAGGGGTTGGGCTGTGGAGGACTGGTGCCCCCTCCCGTGGCCACTGCCATGGTCTGGTCGTCCATCACACAGCCATACTCGCTGCTCTCAGTGAAGAAAGCAGGCACTCGGAGAGACTGAGGTGGGGGCAGAGCCTTAGAGACTCCCTGAGAGGCTCCTCCCTCCAGATACATCCCAAGCCCCCAGGATGACAGTTGAAAACTGAGACCCTATGACACACCAGGATGCAACAGAGGCAGGAGGCAGTCACAGAGCTCAGAGGGTCCAGGACCCGTGGGTGCTCTCCACGTTTGGGGAGCAGTTGATGTGGGAGAAGAGAGTACAGAGGCTTTCAGAAAAGGAAGGAGGGGTTTGGGAAGAAAGTGAGATACCCCACCTGTAACCTGGGCAGAGAGCTCAGCCACGTGTCCTTGAGACCAAAGCCGGAATTAAATCCTGCCCAGGGAGAGCAGAGAGATGCTGGCTTCCATGGTCTCCTTCTCTCCTCCCTTCCCCATACTTCTCTCCCTTAGCCCCAGGCTCTTACCAATAACAAGGTCAGGCTTGGGCCCCTGGAGTAGATGATAGGGTCTGGCTGACACCTTGATCTGCAGGTCCCTGCGACCCCCTTTCTCTTTAGTCCCAGAGTTGAGCCGTGCTGATACTCCAGAATTAGGACGGACAGATACCTCAGGGCCATCCTGTGGAGCCAAGGGTAGGGCAGAGAAGCCACCAGAATTCAGGTGGATGCACCAGTTAAGACAGAAGAATGGGGAGAGGAAGACAAACATCGGGAGGCCAATAGAAGGATCAGGGCCTCCTTCAAGCCCTCACCCTTTGCAGGGTAAAATGTTGCTGGTCATTCTCAGGTGGCAAGGCATCACCCACAAACTGCAGCTCCAGGGCCACATGGGGAAGTAAGACCAAAAGCTCCTGAAGAACAAAGATAAGACAGGTCTAGCTCCCATCCTGTGTCCACCCCACAGCCAATGCCAGTCTCCAGGCCAGGAAAGACTTACCCAAAACACCATTACAAGGTCAAACTCTTTCCCTGCCTCTACCACATGGATCTTCAGCGACTGCTTATTCTGTATATTGAGCTCAGGGACTAAGGAGAGGCCAGTTTTTAAGGATATGGTCTTTCTCAATGACCCCTCCTGCCCCTACATCCCCCCATCCTACCCTGTACTCCTTACAGGACTGGGGCACTAGGTGGGTGATGACATAGTACACGGTCAGCGGGTAGGTGAGAAGCACAGCCATGGGGGAGTCGAGGCTGAGGCCCCGCCATGTGTAGTAATCCTGCCACGAGCCTGGGGGAGAGTGGATTACTGGAGGACCCAGCTCCAAGCCTGAACCCCAACCTTTCTGGTCTAATAGCTCCCTTTTTCTCAGACACCCAGGCCTTTAGCCTTCCGTGTCCCCACCTCTGGATCCTTCAGGGCCCTTCCTGCTCACCAAAGAGGGCCTTGGGTGGATCTGAGGGCACTGGAGGCATCAGGGCAGGACCATCCCCCTGGAGAAGCTGGTAGGGATCTCCTGAGAGGATGAAAAGAAGAGGGAACCTTCACCTGACCCAACTTCTATTGCTTCCAGAAGAGCTGCATCCTCTGAAAGAGGGCCTAGAACTGTACTAGGAGGGATGAGAGCCTTTTTTAGGGTCAAGGCTACTGAATGGGATAGGCAGGGAGACCCCTTTGAAGGCTTCAGAGAGGGTTGAAATGGCACTGTTGGTGTTGGTAGGGGTTTGGTGTGTATATGAAGGAATTATCTGGGACCTGGTCAACTTTTTCTTCCCAATCCTTCCCTCTAGGCTGAGGACAGTCCCCACGCACCACTGAGAAGAAGGCCAAGGGATGGTGTGCTGCCCCGGGGGTGCCTCGGGGTGCCAGGTCCTGGAATCAGCATGCTGAGGTGAGTCCAGTAGCCGCGAGTGAGTCCCCGGGAGGCCAGGAAGGCTTCCTTGTTAAAGGTTTCGCTGGTCACCTCTGGAGAAGGAGGGGAAGTATTGAGGGCCTGGAGTTGAGGCCCCAAGACTTTAGCTCTGCTCAACTTCCCCCAAGGAATCAGGGTCTGAGTCTGCTTCTAGTCAAGGAGGGAACTATCATTTCTGAGAGTCTACAGTATACCAGGCACAGAGCCTACACCATCCTTGTAACAATTCTGTGGGATTTTACATTTGTTAGTATTCCTCTTTTACAGATAAGGAAACTAAGCTTCCAAGAAGTAACATGATATGTTTAAGGTTGCATTGACAGTTGGTGGTGGAGCTGAGAAGCAAGCATTTGAAACCTACCCGAAAGTCCCCTGAGCTCTCACTGGGACCCAGGCACCTGGTTTTCCATTTCAGAGATCCTTTCTCTAGCCCCAAATACCCAGTACCCAAACTTTATTCCAGGGATCTAGACTTTAATCAAAGGCACTTAGTTTTCTGTTCCAGAACCTTGTTTCCAGGTACTCAGGCCCTATCTCAAAGACCTGGTCCCAGTGTTCACCCAGCCCACTCTGAACTCCTTATGGTACCTGCAGTGTAGGTGAAAGGCAGAGTTGCCAGTTCCCCTGCCCGCTCCATGAAAGCTGCAAGCCTTGGGCACCAAAATCGGTGGCTCACATCATCTGGACATCGCCGCCAATCAGCCCGGAGACAAATCTCTCCACAGTACAATACGGCACTGCACTGGGGACTGGGGGACATGGGGTGGTAGGCACCTAGTGTTAATCTCTCTAAGTCCTGTCTGCTGGCCGTCTGCCCCGCAGCTGCCCATATGTCATTTGGCCTTTTTGTCTTATACCCTCTAATTTACCTGTAATTCCTGTTTGTTTTTTCCATCTCTGTCTTTGTATTTCCCTGACCCTCCCTGTCTGTCGGCTGTCTCCAACTGACCTGGCTTGCGGGGGGGGGGGGGGGGGTTCCCTGTTAAGAGTCTTTTTTCAGACTCCATCTTTGTGGGCTACTCACCAGGGTGACAACTTCACTTCAAAGCTGTGCCTGTGACAAACATGGCAGGTTCGAGCCCGAAGGGAGGCAAAGGTGAAGCCTGGCCGAGGACCCCATGTCCGCATTGGGGTCTTTGCTAACTTCACACCCAGCCTTGGGACCAGGTTCTCCAGTTCTCTGAAGTGGAGATGGCATCAGGATGGGGTAAGGGGCCTCCAGTGTCCAGGCCCTAGACCTCCCCATCCTCTAATACCAGATTTCTGTACCTATGCAGCTGAGCATCTCCCACTGTAAGCTGTCGGGGCTTTCGGGGGTCCCCAGAGCCCATGGGGCAGGCCATGCTGTGGCAGAGAAGAACATAGGCCCGAGGAGCTAGGTTCTCAGTTCCTGAACCCCTGCCTGCATTCCCTTGGACTCCATCCACTAGCAGATCAATGCCCAAGATGGTGCCATGCTCATCCGTCACCAGTAAGAGGCAGGAAAGGTGCAGAGGGGCAGTCTCTGGGGAAAGAGAGAAAATTTGGGAGAGACAATAGGGAACAAAGATGTACAGGGACAGGAGTATCAAACTCAAATGCTGTGGGGGTTAGGCAAGTAACTTCAGTGAGTAAAGGAGCCTAGGTAGAGAGGCCCTGCCTCATTTAAGGCAACTGTTACTACACAGTACCAGAATTTGCCACATGCAGAAATGTAGGCACACTGTCAGAATTTTAGATTTTTCTTAAGGAAGTATAAATCTAGACTTCTGGGGATTTGGGGTTTTCTTCTTTTTTGGTAATGGGGATCAAACATAGGGTGCTTTACTACTGAGATACATATTCAGCCCTTTTTATTTTTTATTTTGAGACAGGACCTCATTAAGATGCTGACACCCTCAAACTTGCAGTCCTCCTGCCTCAGCCTCCCGAGTTGCTGGAATTATAGGCATGCACCCTGGTGCCCAGGTCATACTTTTGGATTTTCATCACTTTCAATGTTTAAATGTTGATTTGAAAAACAAAACAAAACAAAAAACACTGTGGTTGATGAAAACACTTTTTTGGGCCAGATGATCCAAAGGCCACCAGTTTGTGACCCCTAGCTGAGTCTGAGTGAGAGGGGATGGCCTCATAAGGGGAGGATGGCTGGGCAGGACATAGGGCAGGCTGGCCCTGGGTTCTTACCACTCCTGCGTTCCTTTCTCTTCTCAGGTCCCATTTCATCCTCCACTTTATAATCTCGGCAGCCATCCTCACCACATGCCTCCTGTTCAGCCTCCTCTGGCTCCCCTGGAGGCTTGGCTTCCTGAGGGGATTCCCTACTGGTAGTGGCCGGTTCCCCATCCTCCTGTGGTTCCACCTTCTCTGTGCCTGCACCCTCCTCCTCCTCTCCATTCTCTTCATCTTCTTCCCCCTCCTCTTCCCCTTCCTCCCCATCCTCTAGGCTGACAAAGCTGACATAGGGGCTCAGGTCTTGAAGGTGGAGTGGAAGCTCATCTCCCAGGAGCCGGGCAGCCCCCAGGCCTGGTCCAGGGCCTGGCTCTGCCCCTTGCCCCAGGCTGATGCCCACACTACGGTTGGGCAAGACATGGAGCACCCAAAGGGCGGGGTCCTGGGGCAGCCTTCTGATTTGAGCCTCCAGCTGTCGCCAGCGGCCCTCAAGGCTGGCCCCTACAGCCCCCCGTTCTGCCACAAACTTGCGGAACCAGCCAAAGAGGAGAGCAGCGAAATCAAGGAACTCATCGCGGTATCCAGACACAAACTCCATGTCTTCAGGGGCACAGGGCCTGGTCCCAGACTAAGCATAGGAAGTAATAGGGTAGTATTGAGAAAGTTTGGGGCAGGGTCACTAAATGGGCGAGAATGGGGTTTTGAAGGTCACTTAGGGTGGATCTATGGATGAATATTAGGAGCTGAGAGTAGGGTTTTGGGGAATGAGGATGGGAGATTGGGGTGAGAATGGTGGAGGAGGAGCGGGATTGGAAAGTGAGCTATTAGCGTTGAAGATGAGTACTCAGGGATGAGATGGTATTTTGAGCTCAAAATTTGGGTACTCAAATTCTCTAAAGTAAGGTTTTAATTAGAGGTAGAGATGAGGTAGAGTTAATCCTATAGGGAAGGGCTTGTGAGGAAGGAAGACCCACTGATCTATGGGGTATGGGAAGAGGGAATAGGAGCTGAGGCATCCCTTGGACTTTGGCGTGAGCCCCAGTAGACCTAGCCCTACCCGGTCGCCCTACTCCTCCGGTACCTGCAGCCGCCACTACTTTTCGAAGATAAATACCTCGGGTGGGGGGCGGTCGTGACGTCAGGGCTGCCCGAGCCCACGGCCAGTCCCTCGGGTGGCCACGCCCCCCCACGAACTGGGTGTCTTGGCGGGTGGCTGCCCTAGCCAGTGCGTGCGCTGCTGAGCCTGAGTCCTCTGACCGCTTCACCTCTGCGCACCGCAGAGTGGATCCCGCCGCGAAGGAGCTGAGGAGCCGGGGAAGTGAAAGCATGCTGGAGCAGGTGGGAGTCTAGCCGTTCATCCATTTCACAGGTCCGCGGACTGGCCTGTGGCGGCCAGAGGGGCTGGCATCCCTGAACCGAACTCGATCATCCCGTATAGTAACTGCCCGCCTACCCAGACTCGTCTCACCCCGAAGTCTGAGTTTTCTTTCGGTTTCGTCGGACATTCCTGACCGCCCCCTCACTCCACTCTGGGTTAGGCACGGGGCTAAGGAGCTCCGCTTTGGGGATTTCCTTGTCGCGGGTGGCAGACGCGGCACGGGCTCGGAAATACTGACCAAAGGTCGGTTAGGGACGGCGCGAGCGCTGGGCGGAAGGCCGCCTCCGCCTCGCGCCCTCTCCCCAGCCGAGACTTGGCACCTACGGCCCCCCGCAGTCTTCTCCAGAACCTGAGGCGGGCGGGGGAAGGAAGCGAAAGCCATCGAGCAATTAGCTGGACGTCACACTCTCCGATCCGGAGTCAGGGAGAGGCAGCCCTATGAGCTAAACTCCCCCCCGAACCCGGAGATGAGACCGAGCTCGGGACTCCTGCTCCCCGAGCTCCTATTTCTGCTAGTGCTGCTGATTCTGCCAGGTTAGTCTGGAGCGGGTTCGTAGTCCGGAGCCTGGAGTCCCGGGAAGAGAATGCGCTAGGGAAGGGGACATTAGGGCCGCGGTGTTGAGTGCAGAACTGGGGCGCTGCAGGGTTCCCAAGGCAATTGGGACATGGGGAAGTTGCTTGGGATTGGGAACGGAGGCTGGAGACAATGGGGTCCTGGTGGGATTATGGACGTTTTGGACGGGTGCGGTGTGTGATGTGTGGGTTGAGGCTGCGGGTCAGACCCCCGAGGCCTAGGGGGAGAGGCTGCATGGGACAATGAGTTGGAGACTAAGTAGATTAAGTACCAGCGGTGGGAGATTCTTGGCCTGAGAACAGGTACGATCGCCTCTATCCCGTTCAGGAGATGGCAACGAAGGCAGCGTCGCTGGAAGCTGTCCCTGTGATGAAAGAATTTCTTTTAATAACCCAATACCCTTGCAAACCATGAATCGTTACCGAAGAAACCTGAGAGCCTACCGTGACTGTCGAACCCACATCTGGTAATCTCCCTCACCCAGCTGGCAGCGCCTAACTGTCCGTCCCTGCCAGTTGTCTCCAGGAATCCTCTCTGGTCAAACGCGAACCCCCTCGGGGTGAATCCTGCCCCATCTCCGAGTTCTGTTCCTTCTAACTCTCTGCACCATCTTTTTTTCTGTTTCACTTCACTGGGGATTTCCAGTCTCCGCAGAAACAACTTTCTTTGGGTGACGTTATGTCTTTGGAATGAGGGAAGGTGGGGAAGGTGCTGCTGCTGAGACCAGGTTCTGTTTCTTGCAGGTTTGAGCTAATTAGACAGAACGTATGTGGGAGCATCAAAGACCCAAGGGTTCGTGAATTAATGAGCTGCTTTGATCGCGGAGGTGAGAACTTTGCCTTTCCTCCTCAACTTTGGGCATGGCAGCTTTCCACCTTATAAATTCCTTCGCCTCTGCCCTTAAGCCGAGACACTACATCCTTGAAGCTTCTGATTCTGGCCAAAGTACTTTCGCTTAAGTCCACACCTACCAAACATCATTTATCAGCTCCTTCATGATTTTTTTTTTTTTTTTTTTTTCCAATTCTACCTCATGTGATATTTTGTACTTAATATTTTTCTTGAAATCACTATCATATAAAACGTTTTTATATTTAAAATAATCACTGTTGTATTTTCCTTGAAATCACTTGAAGGCACTATTTTCATTTTCCAATATTTAATTATGAAAATTTAGACATATATAAAAATTTAAAGAATTGTACAATGAACAATGATATGTTCACCTAGACTGCAATATTTGATTTATATATACTATATCTCACATATAAAGCAAATATTTACCATATGTGATATTCACAATATTGAGATTACATCATTTTACTGTATTAGCTTATTGCATATCCTTCTCTATCATTAACCCATCTTATTTTTTAAAAATTTTGTTCTACATTTTTATTGGTGCATTATAGTTGTACATAATGGTGGGGGATTTGTTGTTACATATTCATACATGTACATAATATAATAATATAATTTGGCCAGTTTCACTGCCCAGTGTTTCCCCTTGCCCTTCCCTTCTCCATCCCCCTGGTCCCTTTCTTCTGTTGTACTGATCTTCCTTTGATTTTTATGAGACCCCCCCCCCCTTCATTCCCTTTTTCCTCTTCCACTTATGACAGAAAACATGGCCCTTGACCTTTTTAGTTTTGCTTAACATAATGTTCTCAAGTCTTCCATCCATTTTCCTACAATTTCATTTTTCTTTAGATCCATCTTATTTTTTGATGCCTGCCTGCCTGCCTTTCTCTCTCTATTTCTTTCTTGAACCCAGGGGCACTTCCTCATTTTTCTTTAGATCCATCTTATTTTTTGATGGATTTCTTCTCTCTGTCTCTCTCTTTTTCTGGTACTGGGGATTGAACCCAGGGCACTACCACTGAGCTACATCCCTAGTCCTTTTTATTTTTTATTTTGGGACAGGGTCTCCCTAAGTTGCTGAGAGTCTTGCTAAATTGCTGAGTTTGATCTTGAACTTGTGATCCTGCCTCAATTTGTGTCTCACAGCGGCTGACTTTGTGATGCACTTCAACCTAAGTTGTAGGCATGGTTATATTTCATCCCAAAATGTTTAAGCTTGTATATTATTAAGTAGAGTTCAAAATTTCACTGCTGTTTTTTGGGGGTATATTTTGCATATAGAAGTGAATAAATCATAAATGTACACAAGTTGGTTTTGCAAAAAAAAGTTATTTAACAATTTATCCTAAAAAATGTCACCTGTGAAGTCACTATATATTTTTATTTATTTATTTTGGTACCACAGATTGAACCTAGGGGTGCTTAACCACTGAGCCACATCCCCAGCCCTTTTAAAAATATTTTATTTAGAGACAGGGTCTCAATGAGTTGCTAAATGCCTCCTAAATTGCTGAGGCTGGCTTTGAAATCATGATCCTCCTGCCTAAGCCTCCTGAATTGCTGGGATTATAGGTGTGCACCACTGCACCTGACTGAAGTCACATATTTGATGTGCTGATTGTATTTTGCTCTTGAAATAAATACACAACTATTTAAATACGAAATGTTCTTTGATGTCCTACCTAAAATTGTGAAGTATAATCCTTCAGGCTACATAGACCTGTTATTTCTTTAATCCTCCCAGCTACCCTGGCCCTTGGTACTACAATTATACTCATTTGACAGATGAAAGAAGTTAGTCCCAGAGAGTTTAGAGATGAGGGGCAAGGTCAAACAGCTGTTTTGTGGCACAGCTCAGTGTACAACCCAAGCCTCCTGATTCTCCAGTTCAGAACATTCACTTGTCTCAGTTGTTCTATCTTGGGGTTTGCGAACTTCCTTGTCCCCTGCCTTTCCCAGCTGTTGCTGTCTCCCTCCCTCTCTTGGCCTTCAGTTGTCCCCTTGATGTTGTCCTTGACCTACTATCCTTCCCTTTGTTGAGGCTTGGGACACCATACCCCAAACCATGGCCCCTTAACAATTGAGAAACTGCCAAAGCAAGCTCACTCTGACCTTCCACCATCTTTCTGTGTTCCCTAAAGGAATTCTATGACCTACCTCATCTGAAAATAAGTCATAATATTCTCCTTCCATAGCGGTCCTGCCCTATACTGGGAGGCCAAGAAGAATTGGAATAGGCAAGCTTTGCTAGTCTCCTCCAACCCCATTTATCACCACTAGATCATACCCTTTTTGTACATACTTCTACATAACTGTCCATTCTTCATTCAATCTAAGGACAAAAATATTTTTTCCTGAATCTGGGTCTTCTTTCTGAAGGCTCCCATGCCCTGTAAAACTGATTAAATACATTTGTTATGCTTTTCTCTTGTTAATATCTAATTTCTTTGGGGGATACATTGGGGTTAAACTCAGGAGTGCTCTCTCATTGAGATACATCCCCAGTTCTTTTAATTTTTTATGTTAAGACATGGTCTCCCTAAGTCTCTGAGGGTTGCTAAATTGCTGATGCTGGTCTCAAATTTGTAATCCTCCTTCCTCAGCCTCCTGTGTTGCTGGGATGGCAGGTGTATGCCATCACACCCAGCTTTAATCTTTTTTTTTTGTTTGTTTTTATAGGGGTGTCAGCCATGATTTGGGGGATGAATGAGGAAATTTACCACTTTTTCTTTCCTGTACCTCTGTCTGCTTTTCACCTATTCCCTGATATCCCTGCTCCTCACTTCTTTCCTCTTCAGAGTGTGGATATGAACATTGGAAGAGTCGGGTCAACCAGGAGCACTTACTTTTTCCCAGCATTCCAATTCCTGAGCCCACAGAGTTGGCACCTCCAGATACAAGCACTCCTACCCAGATGTACCTGCCACCTACTCAGCAGTCTACCCAGCAATTCAAGTTTCCATCAGGAGTGCTGCCTTTGGACAAAGAGTTCACTCACCTAAAGGAAACCACCACTTTCACTGTGGGTTATAATCTGGGAATTGGGTTTAAGGATGGAGAGAAACAGAGGCAGAAGGAAGAAATGGAAGGCACTGCAATTAACAAATCAGTCATGGTGGCAGTGCCGTCCCTCCTGGCCATTGTCTTCGTTCTCACTGGAGTCCTCCTTTATGTGTTGTGCAAGAGGAGGAGGGAACAGTCTCTGCAGTGCTCTCCAGGTAAACTGGGCTTGTGAATCCCTCCCCCAGGGATCCAGGATTCCTTCCTGGCAGGACTCTTGCCCCTGGTAGTTCTCAGGTAGCTAGAAACCTGACCCTGGCACACAAATATTAACATTTCCTGTGCTACAGAACACAGGAAGAGTCAGCCAGAGACTATGGAGTAGAGAGGGAGGGAAGTCACCATGGGCCCAGGGACCAATACTTGGACTTTAAAGTCAGGCAATGCTTGGAGCAACATCAAGGAGATGGCAGCTGGACTAGGCTAGTGGGAAATGAACTTGTGGAAAAGGGTGAGGACCATTCAATAATTTCACAAATCCTCTATTGAGTACTTACTATATACCAGGCCCTAGATGTCTTAGAGTCTGACTCCCCAGTTCAAATTATTATCCACTTCTCCAACTCCCTTTGATCTCAGAGCTCATCTCTATTTCTTTATCCTTTTCAGGTTTGCATTATACACCTGTGGCAACAGTCTTCAATGCCTAAGCCAAGAAATGAAGCTTGTGTGGTCTGGGGTTGTAGCTCAGTGGTAAAGTACCTCCCTAGCCTGTGTGAGGCTCTGGGTTTAATCCTCAGCACATAAAAATAAATAAAATGAAAGTATGTGTCCATCTACAACTTGTGAGCCTAAAGTTGGTTTGTTTTTATATTTTATTAATTAATACAACTTCTGACACATATAAGGTACTATATTCAATGTTTAATATGACTAACCAATCAATGAACTTTCTTAGCCTCCTACCCTCATACTGGGGACTGAACCCAGGGCTTCAAACATGCTAGGCAAGTGCTCTACCACTGAGCTACATCCCCAGCATTTTTTTATTTTTGAGTCAGGGACTCTGTAAATTGGCTGGCCTCGAACTTGGATCCTCCTGCCTCAGCCTCTGAGCAACTTGGACTAGAGGCATGTTGTTCCCTACCCCCCCTTTTTTTGGGGGGGATTGAACCTAGGGGTGCTTAACCAATGAGCCACATTCCCTGCCCTTTTAAACTTTACATACAGACAGGGTCTCACTAAGTTGCTTAGGGCCTTGCTAAATTGCTGACACTGGCTTTGAACTTGTGATCCTCCTGTCTCAGCCTTCTAAACTGCTGGGATTACAGGTGTGCGCCATTGTACCAGGCAAAATTTGTCCCCCTTAAAAAAAATCAATATTATAAAATCTGGGTGCTGAGGATGTACCTCAGTGGTAGAGTGCTTGCTTAGCATGTGTGAGTCCTTGGTTTAAATCCCTATCTATGCCAAAAAAATCTAAAAGAAAATAAAATCTGCCTTTTATCCTACATAATGATAGCTTAGACAAAATCTATATGTGCTTCTTAACTATTAAAAATTATTTTTAGCATATTATAATGATGTGCCACATCAATGTTTATAGTAGCTCAATTCACAGTAGCTAAGCTCTGGAACCAACCTAGGTACCCTTCAACAGATAAATGGACAAAAAATAAAAGTATTGTGATACACACACACACACACACACACACACACACACACAAGAATATTATTCAGCCATAAAGACTGAAATGTTTGCTGGCAAATGGATGAATCTAGAAATGATCATGCTAAATGAAATAAGCCAATTCCGAAAAACCAAAAGCTGAATGTTGTCTCTTATATATGGATGCTAATACACAATAAGGGGCATGGGGAGGGAAGAATAGAAGTAATTTGGATTAGACAAAGACAGTAGAATGAATCAGATATTACTTCCCTATGTTTTATATGAATACATGACCAGTGTAACTCCATATCATGTACAACTGAAAGAATGCACGTATAATATGTCAAAATAAATTCTATTGTCATATATAACTAAAAAGAACAAATTTAAAAAGAAATATAAAAAAAATAAATAAATAAAAATTATTTTTAGGATCTGGGTGGTGGTGCACACCTATAATCCCAGTGATTTGGGAAGGTGAGACAGGAGGATCTTAAATTTGATGGCAGTCTGGACAACTAAACAAGACCCCGTCTCTAAATAAAATAAAAAGGACTGGGGAGATAGCTCAGTGGTAGAATATTCCTGGGTCAATCCCTAGCACTGAAATTTTTTTTTTTTTTTTTTAGAATTGTTGACTCTTTTCTCTATAGACATTTGCTTTAGGCCCTTGCCCCTTACCGTGACACCTGTCTTCAGTTTTGCTGCTGATGGTTCCTCCTAGTCACAAGTATCCTGCACACTATACCAGTGGTTCCTCTCCAACCCCACACCAAAGGTCTGGGCTCTCCCACTTTCCATCCTCAGTGGCTTTGTGCTGATGCAGTTCAGGCCAGGTTTACTTCTTCAATCCCTCACATCACTCAAATATACCCCAATTAAGAATCTGATTTCCTTTAAAAAATTGTTATTGCTTTTATTAATAAAATCCTTAGTTCTTGTTTAGTATCTTCCAATGAGGAAGAACATATCTTCATTAGGCTGTTTTTGGGAGCCTGGGGCAGGGGCATGATGGACATGAGGAAATGGATTGGGCAACTGAATGTCCATCTCCTGAACTTGCTAAATCCAAAGCAGGAACACCCTGCTGGAGGAGTCAAGCCACAGCTGTGGGTAAGATGGGGTTTTAGTTTTCTCCATTTCCAACTTCTGGTCCTTGTCTTAAGTCTTCTTTGACCAGCAGGGCATGTATGTTTCAGTTCCTGCTTCCCATCCTGCATGCTTCTAAGTTCTGACCCAAAGTGCAGGTCATAATCTCCCTCCACACTCTGGATCCACTCCTTGGCTTAGTTCTCCAGCATCTGCTCACAGGTTCGGGCCACATCACTGAGCTTGAGACGGGCATAGTCTACTCGCTTCAGAGCCATTTGACAGTCTTTCCTTGAAGAGTAGCTGGAGCCCTCATGGGGCTGCCCAGTGGCCACCTACAGGACAGATAAGACTGATCAGTGTAGCCCTACCTCCCTTACCTAACCCCCAACCAAGTATCAGGTTTCTTGTCTCATTTCTTTCCTGAGTTTGGTCTGCTAAGCAGCCTGGTAGGTGGGTGACAAATCACTTAACTTCTGTTAAGTTCATCCGTGAAATGGTGGTGAAAATAACTACTTTTTAGAGTTGTCGTATTATAAGATAATAATGAATGCCTGACACACATAAACGTTAGGAAATGGTGATAGCGGTCATAAGGAACCCCCTTAATTCTTTTCTCTTAGAGGAGGAAACAAGTCCTGGAAAGAAGGTGTCAACTCGCCAGTTTGGGAGGCCTGATTTTGCCCAGCTAATGCTCTACTAGAGGATCCCTACGGCTAAGGCTAAGGCGGAGAAGGGGTAGGTGCACAACACATCCCAGACATACTTACCTGGGTGAGGTAGCGGATCTGAGCCGACAGCTCCGCCTCCACGTGCTGCACCGAAGCGGTGAAGGCTGCCGCCTGCCGGTCTAGAAGCCGCTCATTGGTTTTTTCCTTGGACAGTTCCAGGATCACCGTCCCTGTCGGGGCGGGGAGAGGGCGGGGCTCACTGGAATGGGTTCGGCTAATCGGAGACTGGCACTATAGCCCCGCCCTAAGGACGTTCCCACCCTATTTACCGCGCAGGCGCTTAGAATCCCACCCCACCACGCGCCGATGCTCCGGTCCGCGCATGTGTGCGCAGCTCCGGTTCGCTTTAGGCTCTCTGCCTTTTGCTCGTCGCGTTCCGAACCTGCATTCTGGAGGATGGCGCCGATTTCCCGTTCGATGTCTTCCAGGGCGCGTAATCGCTCGTTCGCCAGGCTGTAGGTAGCCATCGTGCCTCTGGGAAACCTCCACGGGATTCCGTCCTTCTGCTTAGTGCAACGCTTAGGGCTCGGAAGTGGCTGTCGGCTTGCGCCTGCGTAGAGAGAACTCTGTAGCGAACACTACAATTCCCAGGATTCCCAGCGCGCACTCGGTCCATCTGGGAACTAGTGTCACTCTCAGGGCGTCCAGCGTCTGGCCGCGTCTGCGCCTTCACCGCGGACCACCTGTGTAAGGGGTAATGTTGAAATAGGTCCTGGTCTGAGAACATTCAGACCTGTCCACCTTCATGCCACTGTTTTGCTGAGCATACTTAATTGTAAAATAAGAATTTATTAACCGTCTCCTGGGTGCTAGGTGATTGGATTTCTAGGGTATTCCTTCAGACTGGATGGCCATGGGCCCTTTGTCTGCCAACCACGCCCGAGGAAAACTTGACTTGGTGAGTGTTACATTATTCTCCCCAGGGCTTTTCTCTGACTGTGAGTCCAGCCGCAATACAGACTATTGAAGTATTTATTCTCTGTTGCGGGCACCTTCCAGCTTTTTTCTTTTTGCTTTTCTGGTTACCTATGTTGTAGGATCAGGGGAGTTAAAGAAGAATGAGGCGGACTCTCATGTGACAGTTGGATAGATGTTTTGTTAGAGATATGCCCAGGGTGTATCACAAGGAGTCCAAGAGGAAATGCTGCTTGAACTGAATCCCGAAGGGCTAACTAGATGAGAAGTGGGAGTGGAAAAGGGAAACACCGTAGGCAAAAGCATGTGAAAAGGCCTAGCACATTTGAAATCCGGCAAGGGGTTTGAGTGGAGTGTGGTGGTGGTTAGGTGTGACATTGGGGAGACAGGATCCGGGAGCCAGGTTAGGAAAAGACTTGTAAGCTAAGTAATTTGGACTTTATTCTGAAAACATATGGGGACCTTTGAAGGAATTTTAGTAAGTGTTTTATGACCAGATTTACCTTTTTTGGAAAGATCATTCTCTACAGCTTGCAGAAGATCATCAAGAATGAAACTAAGGTGGTAATTACCGGTAATTTCAGGGACTATGGAGGCTGAGGCAGGAGGATTGCAAGTTTGAGGCTAGCCTGAGTAACTTAGACTCTTGTCTCAAGATAAAAAATTTTTAAAAAGGCTGGAGATGTAGTTCAATGGTAGATCACCCTTGGGTTCTATCTCCTGTACTGGGGAAGGGGGAGGGATCCAGTGACTGCATTTTTTCCCATGACTCAGCACACTTAATTTTTTTCCTCATAAAATAGTTGGGTATGGATAATTCAGTGCTCCACAAATCATACAGGACCAAGGCTTTCAGTGTACCTGGGCCATCTTTAGGGTCTTATCCTCAAAAGTGTGGTCTTCAGTCCAGCCTCATTGGCATAACCTAGAAACTTGTTAGAAATACAGAATCTCAATCCCCAACCCAGACCTGCTGAATCAACTTTGTGGGGTTTTTTTTGGGTGTGTGTGCGCGCATGCGCGCATTTGGTGCCAGGGATTGAACCCAGGGGCACCTAACCACTGAGCCACATCCTCAGCCCTTTTTTATATTTTATTTAGATACAGGGTCTTGCTGAGTTGCATAGGGCCTTGCTGAGTTGCTGAGGGCAGCTTTGAACTTATGATCCTCCTGCCTCAGCCTCCTGAGCTGCTGGTATTGCAGGCCTGTTTCACTGCACCTAGCCAGTGTTTCTTTTATGATCCCCTGGTGATTTGTACGCGTAGAAAATTTGAGAAATACACTCTAGAGCATGTGTTGTTTGCATTGTCAAAATAGTTGTTTCCATTCCTGGGTTGCAGCTGGCAGAAGCCGGGAGAGAAAATGCAGAGGAGGCTCACCTGTCTCAGGGAAGTAACTCATATCACTGCTACTCACATCCATTGAAGAAAACTTAGTCAGATGGTCTCTGAGGTTCAGGGAAATCAGTTCTTACCTAGGTGGCCAGCAATTGTTCCATTGATATGAAATAATAGATTTTTAGAGAATAGACTCACAAAGTCAAATTCTCAATTACACAGGCAGAATAAAGGCATTTTGATATGCACAAGCTCTCAAAATTTTTCTCCTATATGCATCCTTTCTCAGGAAATTATTATTTTTTAAAAAATTATTTTTTAGTTGTAGTTGGACACAACACCTTTATTTATTTTTATAGGGTGCTGAGGATTGAACCCAGGGCCCTGCACGTGCTATGTGAGTGCTCTACCACTGAGCCACAACCCCAATCCCTCTCAGGAAGTTATTAGAGTTAAACCAGAAGGGGAAGATCTAGGATCCAGGAAGTAAGCCTTAATTCTTGAGAGGTAAATGGGAACCCCTGGGCTCAGGAAGGCAGCTATGCTCACCACTATACCACCAACACAAGGGCTACAGCCCAGGCAATTCCAGGACAGCAGGTGGAAAGAACAGCTAGTTCATCAGAAGGATCCTGGAGAGATTGCTTCAAGGAGATGAAAGAGATGAATTTTGGAATTGTTCAAAATGTAGACTTTTTTTGGAAGTGTATACTGCTGAATTAGTGATAAATTCTGATAATAAGCAAATTTCAAAATGTCAGTTATTTAGGGGAAATAGTTGCATAAGAACAGAAAGGTAATCATAATATACCACATTACTCAACCATAAATAACCTTTGCATAGCCATAATTAAATATAGAATATTGGTCTGATCCAAACTGAGGATATAATTCCCTTGAGAGAATTGGAGTTGGGGCAAGATGAAAGTTGTTCCCTGGTGATTGGGTTCAGTCTTTATCTTCTATGGTTGGAAGCCATAAATGCTTAAAAAAAAAAAATCAAGAAGTCAAAAGTATTTGGAGATGTGGAGATAAATGTCAACAGAAACATCTAAAGATAGTGAAAGTAGTTGTCTCTGAGGACAACTCAGAGACAAGCTGGGCATGGTAGTGCATACCTGTAATCCCAGGGACTAGGTAGGTTGAGGTAGGAGAATTACAAGTTCAAAGCTGCCCTCAGCAACTTAGTGAGTCCCCAAGCAACTTAGCAAGACCCTGTCTCTAAAATATTAAAAAAGGACTGGGGATGTGGCTCAGTGGTTAAGCACCCCTGGATTCAATCCCAGGTACAAAAAAAAAAAATAAGTTTAAAAAAAAATGAGAGAGAAAATAGAGATGTACTTTACTGTGAAAAAGAGCTAAGCGTGGAGGAGTTTGTTTTCTTCCCTCCCTCCTTTCTCTTTCTCCTTTCTTCTTCCCTTCAGTGGAAAGAATTGTGTGGGTTTATTTACTGTGAAGGAAGAGCTAGTAAAGGGGGTTGAAGAGAAGGGTTGGTTCAATGAATTAAGGTCTCTGAGGAGGAGGGAAGTGAGAGCTGTGAGCACAGGTGGAATGATTAGCTTTGAACCAAAAAAGCATCTTAACCTTGGTGGTGTAGGAGAGTTGGTGTAGATGTCAGTGTTTGTAGAGTGGGAAGTTGAAGTCATTCATCCTCACTGCCTAATGTCTGTGAAAAGCAGAAATCCTTATAAGGAAGGTAGAGAATAGTTGGATGGGAGCAGGAGAGGGAGGTGACCAGGGACAAGGAGAAGGGACAAAGGGTATCAGGTATCAAGATCTCAGCTTAGATTAGAGACCATAAATTTATAGTGGCCCTAAATTTATACCTGGGGCCTAGCATAGTGTTGGCACCTAGGAGGTATTCAAAAATATTTGTTGAATGATAAGTGTGGTTATATGATTTCTCTCCATTTAGTGCCTATCAGCTCCCTGTTAGTGCAAAGAGGCAGGAGATAGTGGGACAGATTCAAGGGTGGGGTTTGAAAGCAGAATTGTGAAAGGAGAAGAAATTGAGTATGCTGATAAGATAGTGGTTGATCTAATGATCTTGAATGTAGGCTGGAAAGAAGAGGAAGTGTCGTTGTGAGAAAGCAGAAGGAACCATGAGCTTTCGTAATAAAAAACTAAAAGAGCCAATAAATTTGTCAAAGTAAGTACATTCTACTGTCATAACTAACAAGAAGAAAAAAAATTTAAAAAGCCATTAAAAAGTGATTATAGCTGACTGTCTTAAAAATTTGTGTATTAAAAATACTAGAAGCAGGGCTGGGAATATAGTTCATTTGGTAGCGTGCTTGCCTTGCAAAGCCCTGGGTTCAATCCCCAGCACCACCAAAAACAACAACAAAATACTAGAAGCAGTGGCACACATCTGTAATCTCAGTGACTTGGAAGGCTGAGGCAAGAGAATGGAAGATTCAAAACCAGCCTCAGCTGCTTAGCAAGGCCCTAAGCAATTTAGTGAGACCCTGCCTCAAAATACACAATAAAAAGGGCTGAGGATGTGGCTCAGTGGTTAAGCACCCCTGGGTTCAATTTCTGGAATGAATGAATGAGTAAAACTAGAAGCAAAATGTTTGGAATTAGATAATGGTGAAGAATGCACAACATAGTGAATGTATTAACTATCATTGAATTCTGCATTTTAAGATAAAAAACTAGATACAAATGCAAAAGATATAAAAAACTGGGGAAAATATTTGCAAAGTATACTACAAATAGCTGATTTCTTCATGAAAAGCTTTTGTCATTAAGAAGAAAAATCAGTGCAGTAAGTTGGGTTCATCCTCACTCATAATCAAAGAAATGTAAGTGAAAACTCCAGTAATATTATATTTTACTTGCTAGATTGACAGTAATAAAAAAAAAGCTCACCCTCTGTGACTTGGCAATTCTACTTTTAAGAATTTGTCCTATAGGCACTCTTAGCATAGGCAAAATAACATATCTATAAGCTGGCTGTAGTGATGCACACCTGTAATCCCTGCTACTGAGACCGGATGATCATAAGTTTGAGGCCAGCCTGGGGAACTTAGAAACTTGAGACCTTGTCTCAAAATAAAATAAAGGACTGGGGATGTAACTCAGTGGGAAGTGCTTGCCTACCATGACTGAGGCCATGAGTTCAATCCCCAGTACCATAAGCAAAACAAAAACCACAAATCAACAAGGGCAGTTATTTTAATACTGTTTGAGTTGGCAAAATAGTGGTCATTCAGCATGTCCACTAATAGGTAACTGGTAAAAATAAATGATATCTAAACAATGAGGAA